AAAAAGACTCCAAACATTCTATTCAACTTCATGAAGTCATCATGATCGATAATCACGCGCAAAGTTCAGGTCGGCGAACCCCATAACCACCCCCACTTAGCGTCCCTCCTTCTCCCTCCCCCCCTCCCCTCCTTGCGGCAGGCCACCCCCACGAAAAAAAAAGAGCACCACCATGGAAAGACTTTGCCGCAAATAGCCCATCAAAGGATGTAACCACCTTTAAGTAAAGCCACCCTGGCCGTCCGTTTAGGGTAGGCACATTTTCGAGGGTCATATTTCCGTCATTTTGTGTTTAAGTGCGTGCTCCAAATCCGATTAAAAGGCATGCCCCCAAAACCGAACCCCGAGACATGCTGATCCAGATCAAGCATATCACATTTGAGAGAGAGAGAGAGAGAGAGAGAGAGAGAGAGAAGCTCATCGTCTTCAGCCATAGGCACGAAGTCGACACGAGCCGCAAGATCGACTCCACTTCGACTAAATCAACCGCCAAACCAATACAGAAGATAGCAATTTTTTGGCTGATAAATCAAGGGAAAAAAAAAATTCATAACTGTGGAAACCTACCAAATCCTGCCGCTACGCTACCTTCTTCCCCCGAATACAACGTACGGTCATTATAGCTGTATCTGGACTGAAAGATGCCTCAAATACAGCTATAATGACCATACGTTGTATTCGGGGGAAGAAGATAGCAGAGATTCAAGCCCCCGTAAACACTGATTGATTAATTCATGCTGCGACAGGATACGATGCGATGTGTACTTGAGCTGGGATCTATACCTCACCCTCCCGTGCTAACCCTCTTCGGCCCCTTCCAATTTATGCCGGAATCTTCTTATACCTGTTTAGATCCGAACCTTCTTTTTCTTTTCCCTCATAACAGCCAATGAATGACTTCATCGGGCCTTCGTTTCGGCGGGAATTGGGAGGAAAGGGGGGGGGSGGGGGRGGGGGCAGGTGAGAGGGAAGCGTGAGGACGTCGGGAATGTGCAGTGCATCTCTGTTAGATTGCCTCTGCGAGGGAGCACATGTAGAAAGTCACAACCCATTTGTCGGAGAGATGGGGGATTTGATCGAGCCAATAGCAGAGCTCGGGGGACACGAATCTTGTCAACCCGATCATCGCGATGATAAAGAAGAAAAGGAACAAACAATCAAAACGTCGAGGCACGTGCCATTCAGCTAACAGCAGAGAACATCACACCAGAATTACACAGCCGTTTGCTAATCAAACAGTGGAGCAACAACAGACAGAGAACAGCCAAAGGAAAACGAGAGCGAAAGGGGGAAAGGGACAGGTGTGTATGTGTGGGTGCAGGGGCGTGAGTCCCGCATGTGTGGCGTTGTGCCTGTGGGCCGGAAGGGGGGGAGGGGGAGAGGGAGTTGCACAGACACAGAGAGAGAGAGAGAGAGAGAGAGAGAGAGAGAGAGAGAGAGAGAGAGAGAGAGAGACAGACAGACGGAGACAGACGGAGACAGACGGAGACAGAAAGAGAGTTGAATCAGCATCCCGATCCCGGCCACTCCTCGCGACCAGACAGAGAGAGAGAGAGAGGAGAGAGAGAGAGAGAGAGAGAGAGAGAGAGAGAGAGGAGAGAGAGAGAGAGAGGAGAGAGAGAAGAGAGAGAGAGAGAGAGAGAGACAGACAGAGGGAGACAAACAGAGTTGAATCAGCATCCCGATCCCGGCCCACTCCTCGCGACCACTTCCCCTGACCTGCGGGTAATTGTCATCGCGTAGTTGTGACACAATTAGGCTGTACAACTGGCGCTTCAGAAGAGCGTCCTCTTCTGCCGTCGCCATCTTCTCCCCCAACCTCCCAGTGCGCTCTTCTCTCCGGCCTGCGCGCACACACGGAGACGATTACTATGCGATGGGGTTGCCAGCGTTGCACGTCCTTGCACCCAACCCTCACCGGGCGTCGCCACGTACCCGCGAAACGATCGATAATCGTAAAAACCTAATTGCGGAGATGCCCGTCTACGTTGTGGATGCGTTACACTGCGCTCACGTCCAAACCTGGGCTCCCTAACCCACAGTCAGCGCCTAACTCAGGCGCCTATTCTGCGGTCACGTCTAAACTCAGGCGCATATTCTGCGGTCCCGCCTAAACTCAGGCGCCTAATCTGCGGTCGCGTCTAAACGCAGGCGCCTATTCTGCGGTCGCGTCTGAACTCAGACAACAACCTAACCTTCCTTCAACTCTCAACCCGTTCGTCGAGCATTGGCCGAGGTCGGTGGTCCGCTGCATGCCGGATTCGGGGTTGAAGTTTTGACAAGGGCCGGCCGATGAACGCAATCCAGGGCGGGGGAGTGTGCAGAGGGGGGCGAGTACCAAAATGTTCACAGAGCGCTATGAAACCAGAGGCCGCCCCTACGGGGCCGGGCGGCAGCCCATGTAGATGTGAGCGAATATCTCGAAGCGGCTGTCAAGTAAGCGGGTTTGAAATATTTTTTCTTTTGGGAAAATTTGTCTGGCGCCCCTGTATTTTGCGATAATTCGCGTCGCGCCCCTCCGATGGCCGGTTTACTCTCTCGCGCCCCTGGGCCAGAACATATTTTCGGCAGGCCCTTGTCGGTAGTGACCGGAACTTTCCAGGACACCCTCCTTGGACTGGCGGTCCCATTTCCGACGGGCCCTGTGCCATATGCCCTCATGAGGGTTTTCCATCTTTCTGCAATGCCCCCGCAGCGGTGAGGCGCCAGAAATTCGAATCCGATTTGAAACTGGGCCCTTCTTGACGCGGCCACCACGTTGTTGTGCCGCAGAGACGCTGCTGCATTCCACGGTGAGTGTCACTCACCTTCTTCGTTCTCCCTGTACTCCATCTCCTCGTTCTTCTGTGTGAGAGAGAGAGAGAGAGAGGGTGAGTTTGTGACTTCTCTCTCTCTCTCTCTCTCTCTCTCTCTCTCTCACACACACCCCCCAATTTTTCTGT